TCTGTCAGATAACCAGACAGTATCCACTCCTTGAGTAATGATTCATGTCTTACACTTTCTCTCCTCTCCTCATTATTACAACAAAGCAAAAGGCAGAAAACCTTGCAACAGACACAAATACTGACAGTCTCAATTAAAGGGGAGAAACATGAGCATGATAGAAAAATGGTATTTTTTTTCTTTCTAATAAAAAGTAATTCTTTACTCTGTCTCCTAATCTGCATACGGACAAACTAGAGAAGTGGCTCCATGAGAGGTTACTGAAGTTCAACAAGTCCAAGAGCAAGGTGCTGCACATGGGTGAGGGCAGTGCCAGATATGAGTACAGAGTGTGAGAAGAACTCATTGACATCAGCTCTTGGGGATTCTTGTGGATGAAAAGCTGGACCTAAACCAACAGTGTGTGCTTGCAGTTCAGAAGGCCAATTGCATCCTGGGCTGCATCAAAAGAGGGGTGGCCAGTAGATCAAAAGAGGTGATTCTGCCCCTGTACCCAGCTCTCACGAGACCCCACCTGGAGTACTGCATTCAGCTCTGGGGTACTCAGCACAGGCAGACATGGACCTATTAGGGCAGGTCCAGAGGAGGGCCACAAAGAAGATCAGAGAGCTGGAACAACTCTCCTGTGAAGACAGGCTGAAAGAGCTGAGTTCAGCCTGGGAAAGGGAAGGCTCCAGGGAAACCTCATTGTGACCTTCCAGTACCTAAAGGGGGCCTGTAAAAAGAGGGAAAATATTTTTCGCATGGGCAGATAGTGATAGGACAAGGGAAAATAGTTTTAAACTAGTAGAGATTTACATTAGATGTTAGGAAAAAATTCTTTACTCAGAGGGCAGCGCAGCACTGGAGAGATTGCCCAGAAAATTTGTGAATGCCCCTTCCCTGGGAATGTTCAGGGCTGGGTTGGATGGGGCTTTGAGCAACCCGGTCTAGTGGAAGGTATCTCTGCCCATGGCAGGGACACTGGACCTAGACAGTCTTTAAGGTCCCTTCCAACCCATGCCATTCCATAATTCTATGATCCTGTCTCTCCTTGCAACAAAAAGCACGTATAATAACTCCCCAGGATGCCTGTGTCTACAAGAAGATCTAGTCCACAGGAAGAAGCTCCATGTAGGGAGTGCATGAACCCTCACACACCAGCTTGACTTTTCCACAGTAACGGGCTGGCTATAGTTTTCATGAACAGCCCATCTTGACTTTACAGTCTTCACTGATAACAGATCCAGACCAGCACCAAAAAAATACACCTTATCAAGTCCCAGTTCTGTAAGTTCTACTCTAACTCACCCAATTGCCCTTATTTATGGTCTTTGAAGTCTGTCAGACAGGTACAGAATTTCTCATTAGGTTTTATGTAAGTATAATTTAATTTGGCTACAGCATGTGTGGGACTGCCTTAGTTCAGAGAGGTTATCCATTCTGTAGCAAAAGCCAGATTCACATGTCCCAAATCACTGTGCCTGGTGCTGGCTGGCTTTGGGATTCCAGAGATGTTGACTCACTCAGAAACCCAAGGGCACAAGGACATTCATAGGTTCCACAGTTAGTTAGGCCAAACTCCACCAAAGCAGAAATTGTACTTGCAGGAACCAAGGACATTCAAACAATCAAGTAGGCTGATGACATTACTAAATATGGATTCTGGGTTTCCCCTTGAAGGCTGAGAAGATTCCCCTAAAGATACGGTAAAAGTCCACTCAGATCTTGGGCAACTCATGACATTTTTTCATTACTATAATAGAATAAAAGGAACAAGAAATGGGAAACACAGGTATCATTGTGCACATGCATCAACACATACAAAGGGATCTAGAAAGTTCCAGTAACAAAATATTTTTTGTATAGCTACATTTTTCATTTGAAAATGTGTTTGCAGTGCAGTTAATCTAGTCATGTTCTCAAGCCTAGAAATTTCTCCTTGGCACCTCTGTTCCTCCTTGGAAGACTAGGAGTGGGAGAAGTCCTACTTCAGCAAGAAGGGAAGGATGAGGTCCTTTGCAATTCAAGATACTATCTATTTTTTTTTTTAAAAGTGTTTTAGTATCTCTGCTAGCAGTGATCTGCTTTGTGAATGTAATGCCCACTCAGTTGCCACTGAGCCGAAACCATTTAAAAGAGGCACAGTAAAAGATTACTGAACACTATTTTCTTACTGATCAGCACAAAGTTTACATTCTGTAAATGTTTGTCCAAGACTGGGTAAATTTGCAGTGTACAATGGCCCTCAGACCCGTGCTTCTGTCAAGTGAGAAGGCTCATAGTCTCGCATTGGAGCTCAGCTGTGCTTCAGCAGACATACAAAATGCTAGAGGCTGAGCTTAGTATCACTGCTATCTTTACCTTTGGATCTGTTCCTTTTTGTTTTGTTCAATGTTTCTCTTTGCAAACAAAAAGAAGATTAATTTTAACATGGAATGAATGTGAGGTTATTCCTGGCTGTTGGGTAATGGGGAGAATTTTTAAAGGGCATTACACAGGGCTGCACTTTGGCATGGAGAAGCCAGAGGGAGAGGAGGGAACTGTATTCACCTCCAGGGGAGCATCCAGAAGAAGAGCTCATATCCACAGCCACTTTCAGCCTCATGAAGCTAAAGGCAGTGTCTGCTTTAGGGTATGCAAGGAGGTCCGATGGGCTCAGTTCACAGTGACACTGGCAGCCTGCCACAGTATTTTGTTCACATGTACCTGTGATATCCACGAGCCCAGAGCTGTAATTATGGTCTCAGATATCACAGTACTACTAGCCCAGGAGATATTTACGGATCTGGAATATACAATCTATAGACACTGTGTAGTTTCAGGCACATTCAAGAAAACTCCCCTCTCAAGAAGAGGGACAGCAAGCCTATAACAATTCTTTTGAGCTGTATCAAAGCAATACACTCCACTGGATCCCACCACCAAAAGTCACTGAAAAGTCTGGGCACGGTGAACTGCAGGCATAGGGCTCAGATGCACACCATAGGTATTATCAGAGGCATAATAATGAACTGCAAACTGGTTAAGCATTAGCAATGCTTGTTTTCCTATGAAGTGACTTGCTGCTTCTCATAGTTGTATTTTAAACTTACAATGATAATAAGGACAAATACATATTTTCCTTCTCCACCAGAAGGGAAAGGCCAGACAACCACTTCCACACTATTCATTTATTTCTACAAAGCTTACGAAGCATTTAGAGAATACAGTGTAATCCAAGAACCGAGCTAGAGAAGAACAACTCAATATTGTTTGCTACTTACATTACTAACTTTTGCCCCAACGTATACTATCACATAAACAAAATCGCCAAAATGTCACCATTTGTGGGAAAGAAGCCCATGACCAGAAGTGAGGTGCATGCAGAATGTATTTCAGCATAGGGAACAGAAACTATACCAGGTTGCCAACTGCTATTCTCACGTGAAGCCTAGGGAGGTTTCTGTGTCCTTGTATGAGTAGAGAGGACTTTGTGTTAAGTATCTCCATCAGATAGTAAGATGCACTGGAGAAAAGGAATCTGATTCTCATCATACTGGTTTAGCTCTGGAACAGCTCTGGTTTGTTTTGAAAGAATACTCCCACTTTACCACAGTTTTAGGCACTCTGCAAACACACGCTTCTCAATCTAAAGCATCACTTCCAGCAGTATAACTGCAGCCATCCCCTTGTCAATGTGCTGTGCTTTCTCCAACATAGCTTATGTTCATTGAGGGAAGAGTTTCAACTGCTTTCATGCTATGGCAACAAGCCAGACACCCACTCACATTCAGGCACAGACAAGTCCTATGCAGGACAAGAATCAGGACAATATATTTGTATTGAAAAATATTTAAGGACAGGGCTTTGAAATTTCTGCTTCCATAAATATTGGAATCCCAAATCCAGTGCCTGCCCTTAACTGAGACCACTTGCCCTTCAGGCTGAGGGTAGCCAAACATATCATGTTCCTTTGCCTGCTCACAGTCAGTTGGAAAGCTGCATGGGGTATTTCAGTCACGGCCTGTCTCTCTGCTAAAATTTACTTCTTAAAAGCATTCGGTGTCTATTTACCAAGAGGATGGGAAGTCACCCTGCAGTGCTTCCTTAACTATAGTAATTCTAAATATTTTACAACTTCCAGTGCTCTGTAAAGGAAGATATTTGATTTTCCTCTATACAGTTAGGAAGCAGAGTGCTTTGTATTACAGAAAATACAGAGCTTTATAATAAACTAGACTGAAACATGTTCATTACCAAAGCAGCTTTGCACTGAGAAAGTCTTACGATGAGAAAGCATTGGAAACATACAGTAAATGCAATTGTCTATCTTTAGTGTAAAAAAGAATTTAAAAATGCAAATTAGACAACAAAAGTATTGTATATTTTGTATGTGCTTACATAAACCAAATAACCCTAAACCCTGAGAAGATTAGAAGTGTATGTTAACACTTACAATACAGATCAACATATTTTTTCCTCCCTGATACCAGCTGTATGAGACTGTGGCAGAAGAAATGCCTTTAGACCAGGAGGAAACCTCTGTGTTTTAAACTCAGGCTTCCTCTAGGTTAATGAGGTGGGGTTTTTTTCAGTATGAAAGGAGTTCTTGTATTTAAACTAAAACATACTGACAGTATGACATTTTAGCAACTGCCTTCCACAAGATATATCCTAATACTGCAGCATTTTCAAACACTTCACACAGATATTTCTTTAAAAGTTACACTGACAAAAGTAATTTCACCCTTCTAGGGAGTACTTGATCTACATTTATTTTCTGTGCCTTTAATAGTTACAACTCCACGATTTCTTTTTGCTCTAAGCACCACACAGTCTGATTTTAGCCAAACCACAAATAATATTTATTTTAGCTCTTCAATCATTCTAGTCCTTACTTTTTTTTTCTTTTTTCTTTTTTTTTAAAAAAATCCCCTTTTCTGCTTTCTTCCATTAGAAGCAAATGCTGGCTTTCTGTTCTTTTAGGGTGTCCTTTGCTTTTAAGGAAAAAATAGACAGAAAGCTGTATTCCAACATACCTTGAAAGGAGAGTAGCATTCACTGCCAGCTGTGTGACTTCTCAGTAGCTGCACTCAGATTCCAGCATTCCCAAGAACCACGGTGTCACAAACCCCTGAAGCTTGCAATGAGGAGCAGAGGCAGATTGCTCTCACACGCCCTTCCTCTTCTCTGGGTATCTGACAGCTGTACACTTTTTAGGACTGCACCAGGACTTGTCTCCCAGCCCCTTTGCCACTCTGATAAATCATCCCCTCCCTGCTATTAGAGCATGCTGCCATTATATCTTAAAAGCACGTCACAGCTTGTATGCAGTAGCTGTGGGAAAGCTGCATTTATTTATACAGGAAGCTTGAGTGCAGCACTTCCTACTTCCCATCCGAGACTCAATTCAACTGCAGGTGATTACTTAAACCCTGTCAGCCAGCCAGTGCACACCCTACGTCCTGATTTGGATATCTGTGCTGCTTTTAATCACAACTCCCATCAGAGCTCTGAGAAGGTAAAACTGAAAGGAGCAAGGCATTAGATGTGACACTCATTAAAAAACCCTCCCAAATTAACCTGTTTTAGGATAGCAGTTTGCATAGCAGCTGCCCTACTGGCAGATGATGTCTGAAATATTTCTGGGTTCTGCTTGTGAAAAATGTCATTTAAAGAAAAGTGATTTCTTCATATTGGAGGGGAACAGAGCAAAAAATATAACTCACAAGTCAAGTATCAGTGTAATTTCTAATTTGAATGCTTAATTCTGTCCATACTAAAATCTCACTCTTTAAGTCGGGCTTGTGTGAAAGAGGGGCTGGGAATCCTGCAGTTCTGTACTCCAAACATAAGGGTGTGATTCACAGCAGCTGAGCAGCAGAAGGTGTTATTGTGACACGACATCAAACCCTCAAGAACTTTTTCTGCTGTAGGAAATGCACCACACCTACAGATAAGAAGTACAGACAGATCAGAGTGCAGGGTGTGCAGAAAAATAGAGGGGGGGGGGAAGCACAGATGCTAATCTATAATTTTCTCTTTATGATGAAATAGGTTTACTTTGTAGTTCATGCAATTATTGCGGGTGTTTTGCCTTCAGTACTTTGATATATAAGCATTTCTTCCAGAGTGTATAGAAGCTCACATTTGAACAGCAAAGAGACAATATCTCAAGGAGTAGAGTGGTGAGTGAGTGAGGATGAGAAAAATCAAGTCATTCATGCAGGTGTAGGGAAAATGGTAGGGCAGTAGGTTCAGAAGTAGAGCAGGGCAGCAGCCCATAGCAGAGTAGCAAAAATAATATCTGGTTTGATATTTACTCCTTGCTGGCACAATAAAACAAAACCAAGCTTCACTAAAGTAGCCTCCAACAGTCAAGAGATAGAACTGCAAAAAAAGGTTAATCATCTTTCCTTCAGATAAATGATGAGGCAAGCTTATATCTAGGGGGGCTGTTCTTTTGAACTATGAAAACTAGATTAGTACATTAAAATGCAGACCAATTCTGGAAACATCGGCTACAAACATCCCATGATATTTTTATCCCATTTCTTACTAGGTATATCCATGCACGAAGGTTAAAATGTGATTGCACAAATGTGCAAAACTGCTTACAGCAAAATTAATTTCCCTTAAACATCGCAAAATTGGTGAGAAATATTATTAATATTTCCCAAGAGATTTAATTATCTGGAAACGTTAAGATGTGCTCATTCCAAGCACTCCACTTCTTCGGTATCAAATCCTAAACTGTGGTCCCAGGATTTCCATGTAGGACAATCACTTACTGATGTTCTGTGAACAGCTGGCTATACCTCTGCTTCCATCTTCTCTTCTGTATTTGTCCTTACTTCTGAGCTTATCCGGGATCTCCACAGCAAAGAGGAGCTGAAGGTGACGTGACACTGCTCAAGAGCTCGGGCTATAAGGACTTGAGATGATCAATACTGATGGTTCTTTTCATTGCCATCACCAGAAGATGTGAGCTGGACTGTTACAAGCTCCTCTGTCAAAATGATTTCTCTTCCAGCTCTACCTCGAGCCCAGGTACTTCACAGTTTCACAGAGGTATATCTTTTTTAGAAGTTAATTTTGTGAAGTGTTATGAGCCATGCTAGTATTGCTACCCAGCTCAAATCCCTGAATCTCTTAACCCAGATCGACTGGGTTCCTTTTGGAGCCAACAAATAAAAAAAGTACAACTTCAGAATGTCACACAGTGCCAGACAAGGCACAAGCTAAGTCTTCCCCATTTGCTCTCTTCTTCAGTAGCAGTGACATAAAGCACAAAACTGAGAGAGTCCAATTAATTTTCTTTGGACACTCTCAACTGAAGCCTTTATATCTCCAGGGCTGGGGGAATGGCTGAGCCTTGGACACAATACATACCAAAATGCAACATCACCAGAAACTTTTAGTTGAGTTACTAGCCAGAATACAAATAATGGCTGGCATAGTTAATTACAAACATTGCTGTGTCATTCTTGCAGGGGCTTGAAATACTTACAAAATGACTAAGCCAGTCTGCATTAACTAAAATTACTCATTAGTTGATGACAGAATTGGGTAAACAAGTAATAGCATGACCACTGAAAAGATCTCTCATATCCCACAAACAAAGTACCATTATCAGCAAGTAAAAACACTGAGTTAGTCTATAACTAAGAGTTTCGTTATAATTCTACATAAAGGACTAAGATTAGCTTGTGAGGGAAAAACAAAAAAGAAATTTTCACTACTCTGTTTCAGTTTTCAACTAGTGAAAAACAAATATCCTGAAAACTAATTGCTATCCAGAGGTGTAATACAAAAACAGGTTTTGTAATAAGCTTTCTAAAACCAGAGTCTAACTAAGAAAAATGAGTCTTTATCAACTTTACTTACTGTACATGCAAATTATCCGTTTCTTTATGGAAAAAAAAGTATTTGGATATGTAAGGGACACAGTTTCAAACAAAAAAAGATACTAATGGGTAACATCACCAATGCTGAAAACAAAACAGGAAGGGGTTTTGCATAGTGAGTATACATATATTATCTGAAGTTACAAGTATGATGCCCCTGATGTCATGGACTGTTAATAGTTCTATTCAATGGGAACTATTTTAAAGGATTACACCATCAAAAGTCATCTATGGTACCTTCATAAACCAAATGTTTTAAAAAAGGAATCTTTATTCAATATATGTATTTATATAATCACACAATGCTAGAAATCAGATGCCAGTGCAAAAATACAGAGCTATGTAATATTTTGCATGCAGACAAGATTTACTCAGTATTAGCCATGAGAAAATCAGCATCACATTTTTTTCTGTTTAAATAACCCTATTGTTCTACAATTCTGACTTAGTATGCAAGTCACTCGCTGACAAACTGGGTTTGAGATCTTCATTATTTCCTTTAGCTAAAACATAAAACTTTATTACAAGGTGTTTTCTACTGGAGTGAAATAAGTCAAGTTAAATTATTTTGAAAGAACAGTAGGTACAAATCCAAAGAGCTTTTCCATTTTACAGTTAAAAGGGAGTGGGATGGCACACTGTCTACTGAACATTTATAATGATTACAATCTCAAAATGTGTATGGTAGGTGACTTATGCTCATCTTGCTCTATGAACAAGGTAAAATGCAATATTCATTTAACTTTGTTGGCACAGCAGACCACCTCTAAACAAAACATGATGGCTTCCATAGGACTGTGTATTTCCTCTCTATTTGTATTTTTTCATATATTGTTTGTACTGTGAACTGGCTTTTGGTATTTGATCCATACAGAACTGTGCTAGAGGATAAAAAAAAACCAGAGCCCCACTAGAAAACAGTGAGAAAACAGCCTTCTACCCCAGTGGGTAGGTATCAGGTGCTTAGAAATCTCAGCTTAAAGATCAACACAGATGGTTTTGAAAGTATGTTACTGGAGTTGCAGTGCAACTTGTCTTCTTGGGACCTGGAAGCATTAGAAGAAAGTATATTTGCCCCTGCAACAAAACCTGCTGGTGGCAGAGCTCTACTGGCAATGTCACCTGGAGTGGGCATTTAGCCATCAGCAACCAAACAGCTCTGCAACAGCTCTATACAAATATTTTCCTTTTGCTAACTCCTGCCTGCTCACTAAGTGTGCAAAAAGCCAGCCTGCACGAAGGAAAAAAGGCCAAGTTGCTGTGAGTCTGCCATAAAAAAGATGCTGATGAACTGCCACTGAACAGCAGACATCCATCCCAGCAGCAGCCAGCACAGCACCCTCAGACCAGGACATGTCCTCAGGCAAGTCTCTGCACTCAAAACACAGGGAAGAGGAAGGTTCCTGTCACAATCCCCCTTGACCTTCTCCTGTGACATGAGACCTACCAGCCATCAGTTCACAAAGTGATCATCAATGGTGTGATGGCACTGCTTCTACTGACACAGCAGCAGAGGTTGCAGGACCTCTCAGGCTTAGAGGACCTGTGTAAGCACATTCAGTTCCCCAGATGGACAGCGTATGTAGCTTCCCCCAAATCAGCACCACTTCATGAGCTGATGACAAAAAAAAAATAAAACAAGACCAGACAGGTTGCTTTGCTCTCATATTCATGGGTTACATGTACAGAAGTGGAGCTGATGGGTTGTTATGACCATCAGGTAACAGGTGAGACTTTCTAGCTGCAAAAAATAGCAATTTATAAAGTAGCATTGAGGAAACATTAAATACATGTGAAAGGGGAGAGACTAAAGTTGTCCACTTCTCCTACCTTCTCTTAAAGTTGGCATACATTTTTAACAACATTGTATAAAGATTGCACGGGGAAAACTTAAGGCTCAGTTAAATTAATTTATTTTCTATTAACTGTGCTCAGAGTTAACTTCAGAGCATGTCACAGACTTTCAGTTATGCAAGGATATTTTTTTTCCTATTGACTGTGTGCCCAAAAATGACACATTCTGTTGACTTTTAACCAAGTGTTTTGCTAATGTACCTAGAAGTGCAGTGATTTCAGACATCAGAATCACCATCAGTTTAAAAACTGAGAGGGCAAAACCATCCTGCGCAGCCAACACAGGAAGCTCCCTCTGTAACACAGGAGGTCACCTGCCTGTCCTCGTCATGAGATAAAAATGTGCACACTGTTTTCATGTCTCTATTGCTGCTTTTTCTGTCCTGCCTTGAGCTCTTAACTGCCTTTTTTTTCCAAAATATTAGGAGACAGCTTTATCCTTTCCAACCCAAGCCAGTCTCCTAGGTGATGGCTCTATCTACAGGCTTAAAAGACAGCTATAATTTGGAGAGGAGGGTGACAAGAGGGGCTGCCTAATAATACATTTCAGCCCAGACCTTTCTGTTTTAACTACCTTCTAAGTCAGGGGTGGGCAGGTCAGAGATGAGACAGAGCTGAGGCTCCTAAT